TTGGTTGACCGTATCCGGCAATTTTTATGTTTAAGAATCGCTACGTTTCGACCATGGGTTTTGCTCCTTTTTAATTGAATATATCCGTTAATATGGAATTGATTATCCGATTAGATTGGCCGGGATATTTTTCTCGGTGTAGATACCGCGATTTAAACCTGTTTATGAATGTAATTAGCCTTTAGGGAACGGGCAAGTTTTTACATTTTCCAGCTGGAACTTTCATATATGTAAGCGTAATACTACGAAAAATAAGCGACCCCTTTGGAGCCTGAAAATAGACCTGCCGTGCTCTAAATGTTGAGAAACACGTAATGTTTTACAATTTCCGACAAATGAAAATTACTCGCATCATCCATTTGTTATTCGGGTGAATGTTCACGTCGCAAAGTTACTCCCGGAGGAGTACGTAATTGCAAATCCGTAGCGAATTCCCGACAAATTAACAAACTTCTCGCGCGCGTTGTACATCGTTACTTGGCAATTATCGTTACTTCGAGTTCGGGCGTCAAGTTGTAATGAAGTATTAGGCGTCAGATATCGATTGAACTAACTAATTGTCATATTTCAGACGAGAACGAAGAAGTGGCCCGACTTGAGCCGAGACCGTTGTCCGAAGGCGATACGCAGAAGCCGGCGTTACGGAGCGTTTTACCACCTTGGTACAACTTTCAGCCGTCACGGAAGCGTAATAATAAGAAGCAATTATCACGTTCGCATTGCGAATCGATCGGCCTACTGCGCGTTGCCATAAATCCGACATAAAACCGGCGATTTAAGAGTATCGACGCTATTAACTCCGCATTGTGTTTCTCCCGAGGAAGAACGTCCGGCGTCTCTGGCCTTCCAGAAGAGAAAGCTTTCGGCCAGGCGTAATCTAGAAATCAGCCGGGCCTCTTTGGAAAGTTATTATTTAATAACGCGTCGCGTTAATCGTGGAACGTAAACGTAAATTCAGATGGTAATAAGACGCGAATTGATCAGAATATTGTAAGATGCAGGTGTCTCGTCGGCTCGCAGTCGTTGGCGTGAACCGTTCAATTGTAATTCGCGTCGTTCTCTCGGTTTCTCAAGTCGAGAATCGGCAGGCGGAATTAACGCGGCAAGAATGATCGATCGCGCGTTGATCTCAATGAGATCGCACGTGCTGGCTCGCTCGCCAGACGCGTCATTTAGGCGTGATAAGTCGCGGCAAGGAGAGAATGTTTACGCGGTACGGCTGCTTCCAGATGCACTGCGCGCGCGAACGGCGCGGCGGAAACAAAGACTCGCGCCGCGAGTCTTTGACAGCGCGCTCGCGAGGCGCGCGCGCGGGCCCGATGCGCCGCGATTCTAATTATCTAAGTCTGTCACGGCCACAAACACAACTGGTGCAACGAGCACAATGGGCTCAATATCCGGTCGAAGAAATCGCGATGCGCGACCGCCATTCGTCCCGAGGACGCGCGATTCGCCGATACGCCTTCGAGATAATTGCGAGTTATCAATTTAATTCAAATCCCGAGATCGCACCAGCGCGCACAGAGATAAATCGGTTATCAATTTCGAGGCGGTAAATGTATTCGTTACGTTGACTTTGGGACAAATTGCATCGCAATTATCTCGGTATATTTAAACGGAGCTCGAAAATGCACGGTGTGCATTTTTAGAAGGTCACGTAAATAGAACTGGAGTATGTTGACTTAATTTCCAGTAAAAAGTTTTTATAGACGCAGTCAATACCTTCTGCTTGGCAGGGATGTATTTTTAAAAGTGGTATCATTACTAGACATTTTTAGAAAATCAAAGTGATAAAATAGAAACACGTTAATCGGTTTCCGTTTATCAATCAAGAAAATTCGTAGATGAAATCGTTATCTTCCTCGTTCGAGGGAGAGATAATTCCAGTCACATCCTCCGTGCTTGCGACTTTGAAGGAACCAATTTGAAACTTACGTAAAGAATCGACATATATATATTTTTTCTCATATTATATCTTAAAGGCCATACCCTTCTACAGTCTCTTTAGAAATGAAGATATTGGAAAGGTATATCACAGGTTTAGTTCAAATATATTGGCTTCTATTATTGTCGAATGCCCTTAAGTGGAATCGACGTTCTTTCCCGGGAGAAAAACAACGTACGGACTCTGCAACGGACGCCGATACTCTTATTAACGCCCAATTAATTCTTAGGAAACTGAATGTTAGGAAACCCACGGGCGTGAACGCTTTGTACACGCTGCCCCGCGTGTACAAAAGGAGATAATCGACTCTCTTTTACACGTAACTGCTCGATACCGTTTGCGCGATTTTCGAACAATCCCATGCGCTGAAAACGTTCAGGTTGATCGCGCCGATAAAAATCTAGATGCACGTGAATCGGTTTCGCGATACGCGCGCGAGTGTATCGCGTGATTTTCGCGCGCAGATATACGCCGAGGCGACTGCAAAAAATGACTCTTTTTTTTTATTTCCAATCCGCGCTATATCACGGAGAAACAGGTTTCCACATTTATTTTCCATCGCAAATTGGAAATGTCAGAGCGGCCAATTAATCTCGCTCGCACGAGATCACTTTGGGCTTTGCCCTTTGAATTGAGCGCAACGCTTTTTGATTCCGAGGAGAAAAGGGCGACGCGTTCGAACGGCCTTGCGCCCGCGAGCTCGAGTATCGCGAGAGCGCGAGACTCGTTAATTTTTTTTCGCTCATTCCGATAATAATATTTGTTGCAGAGAGCATAAAAAGTTACTCCCAGAGTCGGCGAGATATACCAGAAATGGCATCACCCAGCGCGGCAGCCGCAGCGTCGGAGCATCGCCGATCAATTCGAGCCTCAATCACGTCGACCTGAAGAACGGCGAGATAACGCAGTGAAAAATGACCGGAAGATACAATGGGCCTGTCCTCTTCACCGTCCGCGCTCCGCGTTTCCCCCCCCCCACCCCCCACTCGCCGCTCTCCCGAAAGAACGGCGATTTTATCTAGGAAATGTCTCTCTCTCTCTCTCTCTCTCTCTCT